GGCCGCAGATTTTGGTTATTTTCTGAAAGCTCGTTGACTGTTTTGCAAAAATTTCATAACCATTAGAAAGAAATTGAAATTCTGCATCGAATGCCTCTAAGATCTCTTAGAAACGTTTGTTTCGTCAAATGTGGTGCCCGTTTGAAAAAAGGGAAATTACTTTTAAAACGACCTAATACTTACCAAGGATTGCGGTATGCTACCGGAGCAAGTACCCTATTTTCAGATGTATAAGCCGCACCCTTTTTGCTCTAAACGCGAGCAGACCCAGGCGTGCCGCCGCGCATATGTCTCGCAATGCGGTCGCCTTATCGCATACTGCTCTCACTTAACGCGCTCCATGATGACAGTCAGTCTTTTGGCGTGTTCGCCTTTAGAGTGAAAAGGGTGCGGCTTATACACCTGAAAATAGGGTAATAGTCGGATACCGCTTATCTGGTCAATACGAAGGGTACAATAGGGATTTTTAAATCAAGCTTCTGGAAACTCTCTCCCTCCATATAAATTAGGTGCCTTTTCTCTAACATGGGCAATGGATTGCTCTACTTCTTTAGGGTTCTTCCTAGTTATCATTATTATTTCAGACAAATTAGCGTGTTTGGTCGCTGACGCCATCGCGCACTATGAACCCAAACCAGTCCCTCACATTCGCTTTCAATTTTGGTGATTTTACGAAGGAGTGGCAATCAGACGTCGATGAACAGGTGCAAGTGGTTGGAAGTTTTCGAATAAATGTACAAATAAAAATAAAAAATAACATGTAATAAATATAGTTATGTAATAAATGAACATTTATATAATGCTAATATAATAATAGTTAAAGAGTGCAGAACAGCTTACTAGAAAGCTGGTAAAGCTGCCTGTCCATTCTATAATAATATATGATAGTTACTATCTATCCTGACCAAAATTGAAGTAAACTCTGTACCCATGTTCAAGCCTATAAATGCTTTATACCTCCAGCCTGCAGATTCGAGGACATCTAAACGCGATATAGTATGACTGCCTCAGTCTAGCCTCAAATACATACGTCCAAACTGCGCATTTCAAAGATTTTTCGAAATCTTGCAACCTCCTTCCTTCAATGTCCAAGTACACAACTCTTAGTTGTATTTGGTCAGGAGTATCTGAAGTACGGAGTATCCGTACTTCAGATCATTCGTATTACCTCAACATGTCTCAAGATGCTTTACAGTGACTGATAGGCTAAGTTTAGCACTTCCAGCAATAACTGGCCCCTCCTACAACTTTTATCCCAAGGATCTACATTATTATGAGAATCTACATATATTTACATGTTGCGACTGCCCGCACTACAATTCCTCCAGCGATTATGAGAAAAGTCGTAAACGCAGCGCGACTAATCGAATTCAATCTGCCGAGCTCGAACCAGGTGACTTTTCATCATAACAACATTGGCTGAGATTACTTCTACATACTAGCTTAATGGCGCTCCAATTTCAAGATTCTTCTGATATACATCCAGTTGCGCAATAGGAACCAATCAATCGTAATTCGAAAAGTGCTTTTTTCATAACTATATGAACCCCGTAATGTGAAAGTGTTGCAATTTTAGAGAAATTCGTGATTCGGTGTCAATATCAGAATAGCAATGTGTGCCAAAGAAGCGTTTGGGCGGTTCACCATGAGCACCTGAAGTGAAGCTCTTTTTTTTTCTGCCTAACGCTTCAATCTCTTGCCTTGAACTTTACGAAATGCTACCGTCTCAAGATCTGGGAAATGTGCTACACGCTAAACCTATAGCAATTCAAAAAAAGAAACGTACTCTTCTCTCATCGCTTAAAATGCTTTCGGACCCAGTGGACTCTAATAATGTTTCACTAAGTCTAGGGACTTACTCGGCTCCGATCAAGGCTTTGATGTATTATACAATAAACTTCCTCCATGAATCTTTTGACTGATTGACTACCCCAACGAACTAATTAGGGTCCCATTTTATCGACCTCGCCATATGGTTGGCACGCAACTTAAATCTCAAATATGGGCCAAGTTCTGGGAGAGGTAAACACATCATGTGTGTGACTTTCTATTATGTGCAAGTTCATTTATTTTGCTAGAAAAATTCCACAACGCATAACGCCCGTTTGCCCATGGATTCGATACTACGAAAATGATTGCGGAGCCATGCAAGCAAACCACCCTTCTCTTCTTATTGTTAGCCCGAAAGCTTTGAAAGTGTAGCATTGCAGGCAAAATCGTGAGCGATACGAGTTTAGTCCAAAAGTTCTGCCGCACCATTTTCAAAAATCGTAACTTCTTCCCGTCATTATAGTCTTGCATAAAAAATTATTATTAAAATTATTTGAGAAAAAGAAGATTAGGTATTTTCCAAATGACACCTTGCTTACTCTCTAATAAGCTCTGACTGCAGAGATAACGAAAGGGAGTTCTCTTCTCTAAAATCTGAAAAATGTGCCCATAAAAACAGCAGGGTCATGGGTCTTCGGACCTCCTCTATCTGATAGAGCAAAGTTTTTGGTGATCGAGCACATGATCTTCGGTAATAAGGTAAACAACTGATTTTTTGGTATTCTTCCCGAAGACCAGTCCCACAAACCTATAGGAGGCTAGAAAACTACGACACTGACTGTTTCGGATTCTATGGCGCAGCTTTCAGATTTTTGAAGAGCTTGCTCAAAAACCCCGGCCGCGATCTTCTTTTCACGTTTTTCTCTGCAATCTGAGCTTATTGTTAGTAGAGAACAAGGTCACAGAAAACACATGGTTTACTCTTTCTAAAAATATTAACGCAATGCAAGACTATCATAAGAGGACGCAATTACGATTTTTTGAATATAGTGCAATAGAACTTTCGACAAATTTAACATATGATCACAAAACATATGCTTGTTTCAACGTAGGCCATAGAACCCGAGATTTGGAGTGCAAAGTGCCATCATAATGGCAAGGTCAAGATCAAGTGCTGCAACAGTTACGTAGAAATTTTACAAAAGAAACATTGGGATTGTTTATTATTCCTCAAAGTGTCCATACAAGCTGGCTGAACCTTTAGAATTCTAGAAAAACAGACAATTTTTGAAGCCACTGGGCGCGAAAGCTTTTTGAAGATGAGAGAGGATTGACGTTACCTTTTTTTACTGCACAGATCCAACATATAAAAGGAATCTGTGGCCGCACTGTAGTTCACGTGAAATTTCGAACCATAGCTCATTCTTACAAAGAAAGTATTTTCTGTCGATGTAGCCTTTGAGTTGTGGATACTTATGGATACTTACTTATGGATAAAAAGAGTTTCTACTGCTATTTGCAAAATTTCGACGCTTAAGCTTTGGAGTACAGTTTCTACATGGAAATATACAGCATAAATCTTCCAAAAATGGTAACCTTGAACGAAATTTTGCCAACTCTCCTTGATCTAGTTCCGGTTATCCAATTCTCGACATGCTAGTGCGGTGCAGCTCAGCTAGCGTGGATGCTTCCACAAACTCTAGTGCGTAAGTGCAACAAAAAATTCGTAAATTTCATTATGTAAAAAATGCGCAATAGAAATTAGTACTAGGCGATGACGATAGCTTGACTAACAACAAGGATCACCTTGATGAGATGTAGTTCTCTCCTTTCGCAACCACATCAGGAAATTTCTGCAAGCCGAACAAATGTTCGGAAAATTTTTTAACAATCTCACTTAGTTGCTCAATGGATCTAGGACCACCAGAAAACTTCTCCTTTATCAACATATTTAGGGGTGGTGCCACTATTTTATAGGATTGTCTCTCTTGGTACCTTACCATTTCTCATTCTCTCAGCGAATCATTGTTTTGCAACGATTCAAGTTTACCACTTCCTTGATTGGTTGCTTTGGTAACGCTGCTAATTTGTGTACATTCGGAATATTGTTGCAGTGGGTACCGTAGAATTGAAGGGGGGGGGGGAGCTAACATCTGGAAAAAATCAAAACTTTTGCAATATGGAAACGGATCTATGAAATATGTTAGGAGCAACATTTTCACAATGCGAAGTGCATATGTAAGTTGAAAGCACAAAATCTAAATTTATTCCTATAATCTTTTGCAAATTAGAGCCACTCATCAGAATATCAATAAAATTGAATAATCAAATCAATAAATTCAATAAAAGTTCTAGCAGCAGATTATTGTACGAAAAAAATTCTCTAAAACTCCCCTGTCTGTCACTTGTTTTGTACGTTTTTGCAATGTTACGAAAAATTACCATAATGATTTAACTCGAAAGTTCATTGACAGCTGAGAGACAACTTGTACCTATCCGTAATAAAAGTGCAAGCATGCTTGATCACAGCTGGAGACCCAAGGTCAAAAAATGATTTTGAGCGCCAGCTCTTCTAAATGTTATGGGAATTTACAAGCCAGGTAATCGTCTCTCATTTTAACCCCATGGTTACACATTTGTCTCCAAACCAAATTTTTTCAATTTACACAATTTTAAAGCTGCAAAAGTAGCGTTTGATGCTGTGACAAAGATCATGACGTGAAACCAATCTGCAGCTGCCGACAAACTTCATTCATCATCTGTAGCCACATTCGAGATCGCCACCCATGGAATAAATACGACGTGAATGTCGAGTTCACGAATAGATATTTTCCGATGAATAAGAAATCAAGTGCGAGCCCACCAAACGAATAGTAGTTTAATAGGCTTGGTTATTACAACATTTTCCTTTATCTATTCCGCAGAAACCTGAGCATGACAGAAGTACTGCAGGAACTCAGTCTACCACGCACTTTTCTCTCTTATGAAAGAGTTTGACACTGCTCTCATCCTATAATCAGGCCTATCAGAATTTTGATGAAAGTGCCTAACTCTTACGAACACAGTTTTTATGTAAAAAAAACAAAGTAAATCAATTCGCATGTATTATACTATGAGTATGTTTCTATATATCGTATCAAAGTAAATGAAAATCAAAACTCATAATCAGAAAGCATTCAGTTTATAGGTACACTTGGATAGGCATCTAACTCCTACCACTGCCTTCCAAAATGGGGGCTTCTGGTTCCGTGGAGCCCGGCGAAGGGGAAGTTGGTGGAGGTCGGTTACGGGAAGACATGAAGCTTTATCACATGGTTGATATGCATGGCGGAGGCGAGATGATGACTATGATGAGGTAAGACCCTTCTATAGTTAATTCCTTGATCGCACGGACTGGGATCACTGCGGAGCATCGCGAGGTAAAACGCTTGCCTCAGCACAAATTCGCCATTGTACAAGTCGTGCTTTCGCGACAATTCAGCCGCGCTGCGCGTGATCCGCAGTCCGTAGGATCAATGAATCAACTATGCGTTTTCAGTTTTGCTAGACACTTATTCTAGAACCTTGAGAAGCTAAAAGAGTTACAGATATGCCAAGGCTACAAATGACTATGGCTTTGTCGATCATTACATTAAAACGCGAGTCTCCGATTTTCTTCTCAACAACGAGAAGGGCAAGCTTTTCCCTATTACGGAATTGGTAACACTCCGAAACAAGGTAAATATCTTCAATTCGATTAGATAATGCCAGAATTTGAAAAAAAATTCCAGGAAAGAAACGCTAGGTTAGGGGCGTTTCTCAGGAAGAAAGGTAGAGGAAAAGCTGCTGTCAACGTGCTGGAGGGTTTTGATCAGAACGATGCGATGGCTGGGGATCTCAAAAAAGGTGATTTGATTTCTGCTAATTGAGTACTAGTGTCAATTCAACTTTGAAAACAATTTTCAGTGATGTATTATTTTTTTTTCAGCACTCAAACTTCTTGATGGAGGAGGCAAAGGTGGGAAGTCTGAATCAAAGTACCGGGAGCTAAACTGGAAATTGGATGAACGAGGTTGTTGAATATGTACACGAATGCTAGTACAGGCTATCTCAATGGCAATGCCAGTGCATCAGCTTCTTGTTTCCTGTGCGGCCGCCTCGCTTGGGCTTGCTGCGCATTCGCGAATGTATTCTCTGATCATTTTTCACGGCTTATTGGCGGTTGAAGCTCGACTCTGAGCTCTTTCCCATGCTCAGGAGTGGGAAAATGGTCAGGCGTCACGTTAGTGAACACCACGCAGAGTCCAGGAGAGGCAGCCGCGGAGAATCGCGCTGGTGGTGCACCCGACACTGCGGTTGAGATAGATTGTGGACTCGGTAATGCTAGTACACGACGTGTGCCTTTGTTGACTCTAGACTATAATCCTCCTAGGATCGATGGGGGAGACAATCATCGGTGTTTGCCTCTTGCAAGGTACGACGATACATAATATATTAGCGTTACGCATTTTGGACTTCTATCCAAAACTACTAAACGATATCTGCACGTCCGAGGACTATTATGGTAAGCCTCTTTATTAAATTGTAGTCAGCTACATATGGACTTATCAACTTCATACTTGTGATTTATCATAATAGGAATTGATTATGCTCAGGTCTGTCACCTCTCCATCAAGCAATTATCAACCATGATGTGGAGATGGTCAGCAAATTGTTGCGAAGAGGAGCGGACGTAGATCAACGGTGAGCATTTCGAAATTTCTCAATATAAGAATTCGCATTGTAGCAGAGATTTCACTGGGCTTTGGCAAAACTAGTACGTTGTGATGAGCAACATACCAGTGCAGTGCCAGCGCCGTGCTGGCACGTTCATCAATCAATACATATGGGCGCGTGAACGTAATTTCTGGCACAACGTTTGCACGGCCTTGAAATGGCGCTGACACAGAACCGGCACACTAGCTACTCTAAATGCTGCCTCGGATATACCAGATAAAGTGAAGATCTTTGCAGCAATGAGAAAACGCCTTTCACAGAAATAGCGAGGAGCTCAGAAAATCTGTTTGTGCAAATTTCTTAAATTGCTTACTTTCTGCAGAAACTCGTCCAAAAAAAGTGTTTGCCTGACGCACATGAAAAGAATTCGAACCCATTTCTGAGTGAGAAAAAAAAGAATTGAAAAAAAAACAGTAATCAGTATATGAATGGATCTGAGGAAATTATGGTATTCAGGTGTTATGGCGCGTTCTTTTGCGCAGATGATCAAAAAGGCAGCAGAACCGATAGCTTGGAGCACGAGTATGTCGACCTCACGATGAACACCAACTATACCGGGTAGAAGCGCTCATTTTTCACTCGACAGAACTAACCTTGACCGGTATATTTCAGCACCATGTACTTCGGCGAATACCCGCTCTCATTCGCTGTTTGTATGAATCAGCCAGATATGTTCCGTCTCCTCATGGCCAAAAAAGCAAATCTGAATGCTCAGGATACCAATGGCAACACCGTACTGCACCTTTGTGTGATTCATGAGAAATTGGTAATTGAAAAAAAAATTTCCAAATTGGTTTCTATCAAGACAAGTTTTCAGGAAATGATGAAGCTTGCGCTAGAAGCTGGAGCTCGGTTGCATATTACTAATAAACAAAATCTGACTCCTTTGACGCTGGCTGCAAAATTAGCAAAGAAGAAGGTACCGCATCTTACTGTCTGGTCCATGTTAATCTGTGTTCTATTAATATGATTCTGGAACAGAAATATAGTTTCAATTCGAAAAGGTTTGTTTCAAATGGCAAATGAAAAAACAGCTTATTCTTGCATGGAAGATCGTCTTGTTGTATTTTTGGTTTCACTACAAAATACAAAGCAAATACAAAAATTTCTAATTTTATTTGAATGCAAAGACTAAATCTATACATTGCGAGAGATGAGATGAGCGGAGAGGAATGAAAGAGTAGATGAAGAAACGTACCACACCAGACAAATGGTGACGTTTTTGTACACTTTTAAGATCTTACATTTATTTACTCTGAGCTCAAGGAATCGCGAGCAAGTATGTTACTGTTTTTTTTTTGCAGATTTTTGACATGGTCTTGGAGCTCGAAGGCCAAAGTGTATGGGTCTACGGTGGAGCCAGTTGCTCAGCTTATCCATTAACAAAGATTGACACTATCAATGAAGTTACCGGAGAAATGAACGAAGAGTCTGCGCTGTCTTTGGTAGTATACGGAGTGAGTTATTTCAACTTCAAAATGGCGACAAACACCTATAAGTGCATTTCTAGAAAACTTCCGAACATCTAGAACTTCTCGACGGGATCCTGGAGAACATTCTCAAAGAGAAGTGGAAAGCTTATGGAAGGCAGCAGTAAGAACATACATACATACTCGCATCTTCTACTCATCCATTAATGATTTGTCATTAGTTGGCTTCAATCACTGGTGTCATTCATCTTCTACTACATTATCTTCACCACCGCTTATATGCTTCGACCTATTTCAGCCACTACTGAGGTAAGAACGATTTTTTTGTAAGCAACACGTGGTATGTATCATCAACTGAAAACATTCACTACTTGGATTTGGGACAAGGTTAGAAAACAGGGTAGCTGTTGATGTTTTGGTATTTCGCAAATCTACGAACACCAAAATGTTTCGGGTCTCGATGTGCAATTTATAGCACAAAAAGCATTGTTACAGCAAATCACCAAAGGACTCATACGAGCGGATGGAGCATTGGTGACTGCAGAAAATTATACATGGAGCAATACTGGTAGGTCCTTTAGCATTTTCATTGGAAATGGTAGAATTTTTTCTAGACGCGGTTAATGCACAATGCCATCTACAGCAGTATTGGAGATGGGATTGGCCGCAGGGTTGGGTGAGCATTCAGAATTTTTTTCGTATTCCTTACTTGATGCAGCCAGAGAGAATTTTGTGACTGTCAAAATTCAGGGTCGTCTCGGCTGCGAGGTTACGGTAGTCGTGCTGGTAATATTCCAAATTCTCTTAGACGTTCGTGATGTTCGCAGAATTGGTAAAGATAAATGGTTTTCAGTTATGGTAAGACCAGGACTTAAAGAGCTTCTTATCTTCATCAAACTTTCCAGAAAGCCTTCCCAGCAAAACTTCTGTACAAGGCAACCTTTGGACTGGTCTTGCTAGAGATACCACTGAGATTATCTTGCCATATCCATGAATATGTTCTTGCGATGGATAATGTTGTGGCAGCCGCTGCTGTAATTCTCACTACGATACATTTCCTTTATTATTGCAGGTTAGTAGCAATCTTTGAATTGACTGTAAAACTATGAAAAGATTAAGAATGATTCGCAAACAACTTCAACAATTCTCTCACTCACTCATCTGACTGCCCTGCTTTGTACATCTGTCAAAAGTCATGAATTTTACGACAATATACTTTCGCTACATCGCTTCGCTTCGCAAAATCCTTATTCTGACAAAAATTTCTTAAACGACATAAGGTGGAACCGAAAGCATTTTCACTGAAAGGAGATGAAACAAAATAAAGAATATTGCTTGCATTTGTTTGAAGGTACCCAAACTTCGGTTGTCAAGTTCAAGAATCGACCGTTTTGGTTACAATCAAAAATGCCTCCGTCTATTTCCGATCTAAGTAGGATATAGTTATTTCACATAAGGCTAATTCAAGTCAGTGACTCCGCAGTGGGTGTGGCAAACAACGAAGATACTTAAATTACCTTTAAGCATAAGCATTTTTCAAAACAGTACCTAACTTCGCCACTTAGTTAGTAAATGACACCTACAGATTATAAACAACTAGCTGGCTTACCCGGCTCCGCCGTATCCGGACCAAACTTGGCACACATACACTTCGGGCCCCGGCGGGTGTCAAAGTCCACTTTTCGTTATCGATCGATGTCGATTTTACCGATTTTTATCGATTTTTTTGCAGAGTTCACCTACAGGGCTAGGAGTTGGCACAGGGGGGAAGTGAGCATGGGGATTCCGAATACAACATTAGTTTTCAGAATTATCGGTTACTTTTATTGATTTTATCGATTTTTTGTAAATTTTGACATGCGAGGCTGGGATTTTGCACAGGGGGGTAATCGAGCATGCTGATTACGAACACAATAATAGTTTTCAGGATCGTCCATTACTTTTATCGATTTTATCGATTTTTTTTGTAAAGTTTGACCTGCGGGGCTGGGAGTTTGCACAGGGGGGTAATCGAGCATGCAGATTACGAATACAATATTAGTTTTCAAGATCGTCCATTACTTTTATCGATTTTATCGATTTTTTGAAAGTTTGAGCTAGGGGGCTGGGAGTTGGCACAGGGGGGTAATCGAGCATGCTGATCATCCCCAAGGGGGGTGATCAGCATGCTCGATTACCCCCCCCCCCTGTGCCAACTCCCAGCCCCGTAGCTCAAACTTTGCAAAAAATCGATAAAATCGATAAAAGTAATCGATAATCCCGAAAACCAATATTGTATTCGGAATCCCCATGCTCGATTACCCCCCTGTGCGAACTCCCAGTCCCGTAGCTCAAACTTTGCAAAAAAATCGATAAAATCGATAAAAATAATCGATAATCCTGAAAACCAATATTGTATTCGGAATCCCCATGCTCGATTACCCCCCTGTGCCAACTCCCAGCCCCGTAGCTCAAACTTTGCAAAAAATCGATAAAATCGATAAAAGTAATCGATAATCCTGAAAATCAATATTGTATTCGGAATCCCCATGCTCGATTACCCCCCTGTGCAAACTCCCAGCCCCGTAGGTGAACTCAGCAAAAAAATCGATAAAATCGATAAAAATAATCGATAATCCTGAAAACCAATATTGTATTCGGAATCCCCATGCTCGATTACCCCTCTGTGCCAACTCCCAGCCCCGTAGCTCAAACTTTGCAAAAAAATCGATAAAATCGATAAAAGTAATCGATAATCCTGAAAACCAATATTGTATTCGGAATCCCCATGCTCGATTACCCCCCTGTGCCAACTCCCAGCCCTGTAGGTGAACTCAGCAAAAAAATCGATAAAAATCGATAAAATCGATATCGATCGATGACGAAAAGTAGCCTATGACACCCGCCGGGGCCCGTAGTGTATGTGTGCCAAGTTTGGTCCGGATCGGTTCAGAAATGGAATTTTCTATTCGGAACATACGTACACACAGACAGACAGACAGACAGACAAACAGACATTCAGCTTTATATATAAGATCATAGTCATCAAAGGATTTCAAAAAGAGAAGACAGGATTTCTCCAAGTATTCCTCTACAGTAAGCATTCAATTTATCGTACAAGAAGCATACAGCGTTTATTAGAACTTTACGAAATTGCAGTTTTCCCCTTATGTAAGCTCTCAAAACATGATTCTGTAGATGTTGAGACATCAAGAGTTGGCGGCGTCACAAAAGATGGGCTAAGAATTTTAACAACTTGAAAGATTGGCCCTTACTGTGGAACTTTTGAAAATAGTAAAAAATAAATGTAATTTCCAACGATCTTCCTCTTGGTATTCCACACTTTTCACGGAAAGCATACAAATTTTCATCTCTTTTGCTATACATTGTAGTTTTTTCATTCATTCAGGGCCATACCATTCGTTGGACCGTTCGTGTTAATGGTTTACACCATTATAGCAACGGATCTGACCAGATTCATTTTGATCTACTCCATCTTCCTTGTAGGATTCTCGCAGTGTGAGTTATTTTCTGTTATAATGGACCCCTACTAGTAACCTAAGTGCCTCTTACAGCATTTTACGTCATTTTCACGGCATGCGAAAGGGCTTCGAAGCAAGTTGAAGCCTCTGGAGGTTTTAGCGATTTCGAGAACGTGATCGATGTGGGTTATTTATCCACCAAGCGTTGCCATGTTCATCCATTTTCTCGATATGTTCGCAAATATGTAGATATGCACTTCAGAGCCCTGGTGAAGCACTTTTGAGGACATTTATCATGACTATTGGCGAGTTCACCACCATCTACAAGGAAATGGCATCATGTGACTCTATGTTTATGAATACTATTGGGAAGGTAAGTGAAATTGAAAAAACGTGGGTTGGTGCAAAATGACAAGCAGAAAGTCTCCTTGGATCATTAGTATTGTTAGCCTATATTGAATGTCCCATACTCGGTCAAAAAGCGGACCAGGCGCTGGGAAACAAGATGGGATCGCACACATTCGCACCTCACAGTGCGCCTATAAAATCTATGAAAACGAAGAAGTCACTTACTCAAGCTGGTGAAAAAAATAATGTTATATGAGCACGATATACATATTTTCAACGTCTTCTGCTTTGTGTGCATTTACACATTCGTACACAGATTCGTACATTGGTACAGGTGCTATCGCTTGTTACAAATGGGTTGATCAATTGTCTAGACTTTTGTACACATTTCTGGTTCAAAACTTGGGCTTCTTCAAGAAATAGCATTATTTTTCGCACTCTTAAGTTTGTAGAGATATTCTACTCAACGCCCTGGCGAACGCAAAGCCATTTTCTAATGGAGAAAACTTCACATCTTATGTGCTTCCAAAATACTCAAATTTTGAAGTTCGTAAAACTGATACATATGCTCTAAAAGACTGCTGTATCAGTTTAAAACTTATTTGAGAAAATTTTAGACGAGCCTGCATCTTAGTACCGTTCATGCTTTTTTTGAAAACGTTATGAATCAAAAATTACGTGAATGTAGCGCTGCAAATCAAAGCTAACAATTTTGCAAAAATCATCGTTCATCATATAGATAGAGTGAACGTAAAAAAATTAAGCTTTCATAAAAAATGCGATTGTCACGAACACTTATTAAACATAGTGATTCTCTTCAAACTTCTCTTTGCTTCCTGTATAGGGCCTCTCACTGATATGTGAACTTGAAGATTTCATATCTCCTATCCCCTTCTACATATTCGTTGAATCCCGAATGCATATCGAAAGCCACCACTAGGAGATCCCAGCGTACTACATCACGCCCCATTAGGCCCCATCCAGACAGCTTACGTGGGTTGAGCGAGAGCAAAGTGAACATGTGGGCAGCTTAATGCATCTCTTGGGAACTCGAAAAAACAAGCGGAAGCATATAAATTAAATCTATGGAACACTTAAATGTCACTGAAGCAGATGAGTGAGCCAATTACAGATTATTTTCTTGATCTTCGAAATTTTCGTTTCGATTTTACAATTCAACCTTTTGATCGCAATGATGACTCGGACTTACGAGGCAATTTTCGAAACGAAAAAGGAATGGAATCGGCAGGTAGATGGCTTCAAAAATTCTTCGCCAATACAGTATCCTTGAATTTATCCCTTTCAGTGGGCTCAAGTAATTCTAATGCTTGAGTTATCGTTATCACCACAAGAAAGACTTATGCATCTCTTGAAGTATTCTCGCCCAACTGGAGTAAACAAGCGTGTTCGAAGCTACGTAGTCAGCAAAAAGATCGGAGTGGTAAGAGACCCCCCCCCCCCAAAAAAATAAAAACAGGAAGCAAGGTTTCATACTCTAGGGTGACGGACTAACCGAAGACGAAGAGGTACAAAAGCGTGAAGAGAAAGCGGAACAAGTACGAGAAGAGAAGAGACAACTTATGAAAAAGAAGAACAGGGTAGGTATCTATAGCTCAAACGGTGATTATAACTTTTGAAAAATTTTCAGGAAATGGAAATCAAGGAGCATGCTGTGCGAGCTATGCAAAACCCTTCATCCGATCTCAAAAATCGTCGAACTCCTATTGAAAAGCAGTAATAATATTTGTAACCACGGTTGATTTCGTAAAATCTAATATACCAGTGAGCAAAATCAAGGTCTACTAAAGAGAGACAAAACACGAATTTGACTCGAATTTGTTGTTTTAGAGAAATATGATTGAGTAGTCGACTTCTTTTAAAAACCTCGAGATATGAGTATTTGATTACCTCGAAACTTGTCATTTTTGTAGTCTATGCTGTTGAAGTGACATATAGCTGATTTTGTTTCCAACAAAGTGTTGATGTTTACTCATAGTACGCTTCAAGAACATCTGTATTTTATGTGGAAGTTGAAAGCAGTTCATTGTGTAGGCCTTACCTTGATCAGAAAACAAACAATTTTCTGTAACCAAAGACAGCAAAGATAGGGAGAAAATGAGAAGGAATATGTATAGCAGCTTGTGTACTATTCAATCATTTCAAACTTTCATTTCGAAACACTGGCTTCATTCAGAAAATTCTAAAATGTTTGAAAGCCCCTGAAAACGATTTTGTTACAATTTCATGTATGAGCGCCATCTACTTACAAGGGGCATGTTTAATCGAAGTGGCTTTTCTAGATGGTATGTATACCATAATGGAGGGCATGAAACGCTGACTTCAAATTTGCCTTCCCAATCTGCGGAACGTTTACGGACGAGGAGTTATGAGCAATTTACTGGAGCAAAAAATTGGATGTACAATTAGGACAATAGTCGTGATATCCTAAATTCTTTTGATAGCAGTATTTTTTTACGCTTTGATAGAGCAGCGATAATTATCAGGACATTTATCCAATGAATACTTTGAGATAAAAATATCATATTTGATGCTTTATTCGGGGGCCAGTAAAATATTAGCGCTCACTGTGTCCTGACTGCACTTTTACTTTTTTATTCCAACAAACGCTCATAACTCTTCGCCCACAAACGTTCCGCAGATAAGGAAGGCAGATTTGGAATCAACTTCTAGGCTTTTCAAGATCGTTTACATCCTTTTTAAGAAGACCACTTCGAGTAAACAGGCGTTCCTTGTTAAGCCATCTCGAAAATATTGCAACCTTAGCAAGTTGCAACTATCCATAACAATATGCACTCGAAATAATATCTAAACATTCTCAGACAATTTACCGGGAATTCCGCAAAACAAGCAAAATTTGCAGCGCTTCCGCAGGATTTTGTTTGCTATTACAAAGTGGAAGCGTTAAAAATGGGGACTTAAGCAGGAATTTCATGTCATACTGGATGAAAATAGCCATCTGCAGGACTTTTTACAAAACGCTACGGAACCGAAAAATACCAGTGCCAGTACTTCCGCAGGTTTAAAATGCATTATTTCTTAAGATGTTGCCTCGCCAAAAATTAGAGTGCTTTAGTATGTCATTCGGATAGTAAATCACCAGTTATTCGCAGTCAGAATAAGTTTCGAGTCTCGCTTAGGTGTTCTCCTTTGCTGCTGTAGTTCGCATTCTTCGGAGCTTTCGTAGCACGTTTACGGACTTTTCTACGTGACCCGGCGGAACTTTGCCAAATCTGCGGAAGTTCTGGTCAATTGTTTGAGTTGTTGCTTCGGATTAATCACATTGTTTGTCGTTTTATAATATTTATCCGAAACGATCATGATAAGTTATGCATACTGCGTAGGTCTGTGCATTCCTATCGCACCTCGCTTCAAACCTCCTGAACCATCAAGTCCCAATTTGGACATTTCCGTTTGTATCACCCGTTCCGATTCGTAGCCGTATTTGATCTAGAATCACCCAGTATAAGGCAAGTAAGAAAGAAAATAAAAATTTTCTGACAGACCTGATTCACTAGATATGCCGATAGCACCGTCCATGCCTCAACCGTAATGGGACACACATCATTCGGTCCATGATCTAAAGAAGATCATTAGTGAGATTAGGAAATCTTGGCATAGACTGAAGCGGTGATGATCTGCAACGGGTTACAGAGCGCTCACGTCCAGTTCTATTTGGCCGCAAAAGGTAATAAATGTGACCTAGACATTCGGAATGAGTTTCCACATGAGACATACTGTGTCGCGTTGGTAAGGTCGTTCTGGTGGAAAATGACGAAAACGAGGCAGAGTCGGGGAGCTGGAAAGAATGTCTTCAGATTTGTTTATCATTGATTTACTTGTACTTATTTGATAAGACGTGTAACAACTAATTTGTTCAGCAGCAACTGGGCAAAACGTATTTTTTAGAATATAAAGACAAGGTTTTGTATGAAGTATGTAAACCCTCCATAAACTGTTGAGCCCATCTTTTGAAAAGCAGTTCTGTCTCAGAAAAATCTTGACATTTTTGAAGTTGTCTATCACAAAATGAATTCACAAGCCTTTCCAGATTTCGAGAGCTATATCTTCCTCCTACAAATTATTGTTTCTAAATTGAGGTGATTGCAGCAACTGTTATTAGAATCCTTTTCAAAAAGTAAATTTTTCCTGACAAAAGTGAACCGAGAACAGTTTAATGCTTCTTTTCATCAGAGAAGTTTGCAACACATTATGGAATTGTGGGCAATATATGTAGCAGATAGAAAATCAAGAAAAATCATCGCTATAACGAAAATGTGTCTGCACTAACTTTCATGTGACCCTATGTGAAAGTTCGAAAATTGTAAGGCTCGGTAAATGATTTGTTTTTTGTTCAGAAAGAAATTGGAACTTTTTTGAGACTTTGAATGCTTTTGGTACTAATTCCAGCTGCTTTCTTATTTAAGGTCACTTGTAACTATCTATTTTTGCTTGTGTATTATGTATAATGGCCCCAATCCATTATTACCGTAAACTACAGAAAGCTGCTGGAAAAGATTCAGTTAGTGAAAAGTTCTGCCAAAACTTTTCAAGTGCCTTTTATTTTTAGCGAGTAAAAAAGCTTACCGGCGACTCGTCCAAAACGCTCATTTTCTCCACTTCTTGCAGTGACTTCAAGGACTTGTCTCCTTCGCTGGAGTTCGAGTCATCCTCTCGGGTGCTTGGTGTTGTGCTAGGCGCTTTCTAGATAACGAAATTTTTTTCTTTTGTTAGACAATTTGAAAAATGTACAACCTCATAGCTCAAATGATCCTGTTCTTGAACTCGGGTGGCCGTTTGATTGAGGGCATTCGCAAGTCGCTCGAAGTAGACAGCAGAGACTCGCTTCGGATATGTTGCATAAGTCGCGCCAAAGTCGCGCAGAACGTCGTATGAGTTGGCTGGTTCCCGCAGTCGTCGCATCGCTTCTGATAGGGCCGTTACAAATCTCTGAACAACTCGAATCTGCACAGATTTCATGAGAACTTCGGAAGAAGTTGGAAGGATACAATTATAACATTCCCCCTTCCCGCCCAATCCCTTCATTCAACTAGGCGCAAGACTTCCCAGAACAGAATTTTCAAAAGTTAATAAGCTCGGCGCTCAGGGGTCTCCTGGGACCATGAGCCAAAAATAAGCAATCGACAATGGGCACCTCCCTGCGACTCTCTTTTCTGGGATGTAAGAAAGGCAACAAAATGGCCGTTTTCAGTTGCTCAAATGAGAATACATGGAGATTTCACGGCGAAGAGGCAGAAGGGGCTTATCGGCTTTCCCTTTAGTATACCACAAAAGCAATCAGTTTCATAAATTGAAACTTCCCCATAAATCAATGTTGAATTTCCACACCTCGAGAATCTTATGTGCTCGAGAAAATTTTACTTCAGTACTAGTTCATACAATTCCCTCTATCTCAAATCCGTTTTTCTCCAGCTTTTTTTTACAAAATCTTTGGTTTGTTCATATAGAAAGTTTTGGATACAAATAGATACGTATTGTATTAATTGACTACAATATTTCTCACCTGTAATCACCATGAATTTTGAAATTAATGTGATTCCTCCAGTTCGGTTCTCCTTTCAGATCGATATATGCCAAATAGTGTGGGTTTTCGGAAAAAATCGTTTCAAACACGCGTCTTCCGAGTTCGTAGGCTGTTGCTGAAATGGCAGGATATTTCAATGGAGAGATTTTTGAAAATTTATTTTTCTTACTATGGGAGTTGCATATCAAGATCTCTAAACATAAATGTTCGTATATTGCGGATGGAAAAAAATGGAAACTTCAGTACAAATTTAGTTTAAAATTACCAAAGACCAGTTTTTTTACAATTTATGATGCTTTTATAAAACATTTCCAACTTTTGTTGCACATAAGCCAATGAAAAGCCGCAAATCTACTTGACATCTGCCATTCTGACTTTCTACAAGAAAATGTTTCATGGGCAGAAAGTTTCTTAGCCCATTCCCCATCCTCAAAATCAATATTTGCAGAAAAGAACACCCAATGTGATTGTTTGTCATCGATGCTTCTTGAAAAAACTTATTGTGCAGAGACATCAAAACAAAGCTTTTGGAGATGATGGATTGCCAGTGACCTAATTCATGATTGATGAGACATCGATTCTTGACGTCTACGTACGAATGAAGTATACCAAATGCTTGCGACGTAGGGAAACGAATCTAACTATTATATTATTTTCATGGTAGAACAAGCAAGTTAACGTTTCCTAGATATAAGTTTTGCATCAATATTGCCAGGGCTCGGCACAGGTGGCTTACAAGCAAGCTGGATATCGTTTTTGGGACGAAAAGCAAAGGGGATTTCGTTCTTGTGAGCGAAGACATACGGAAAATTGACGACGGCGACCTTTTTTTGTTTTTTTTAGTCGACGTTTCGTTTTTTGGGGGATTTTCGGGAATTTTTCAGGTTTTTAGAAGAAATTTGGTTCAGGGTCAAAGGGGACTTCGCAAAAATTCCCCAAAGTCAAGGGGGACTTCGTTTTTTCCATTTTCATCTAGCCACCTCGTGCCGAGCCCTGAAATATTGCTGAAGAAATCTGCCCAACTTTCAATAAAATCGTCTACTCAATACATATTGAAAAAACAATTCTTGCGATTATTAGAAGCTTGAAGGGATAGTTCCTGCTGGCGTTTAGCAAAGAAAAATATTCAAAAATATGCTAAACTTCTAGCAATCTTGATATAGCTTGTTTTGAGATTTGCTCCTCCCGAAGGTTCTGCTCAAATTCTCTTCAAACAGTTATAGTTTTTGAACATTCTTTTTCCAAATAGGAAATTCATCATACGATATAAAAAAATTTTGGCTCAAATTCAAAAGTTCGTTTAATCATAGAGTATATTCCTATTTTCTAATGCCATACTTATGCATCAACCCAGCACTCAAGGATGGCAAAATCTATCAGTAGACGATTTAGAGCGCAATTATCAAAAGACCTAGTTTATTGTAAACCTCAAGTTCGAAGAAGACCCGCAGCTTTTTATGTTTCATTTTTGGTCTAGCGGAGAAAGGCACAGAGCGGTATTATTGGCCTCATTTACTGGCACCTCAGGGAAGATTTACTATGAATTCCTTGTCTTTCTTGCGAAGGCTTCATTTCCATATTTGTTCACGGAAAGATATGAAACAGCTTTTGGGGTAGAGATAATTTATATACAAGCTTTAAGAGAAAAGCTTTTAATTTTTAAGACCAAAAAAATGTTTTCTCCGGGCTTACAAACTAGTCGTAACATCAACCTATCATCTTTGTATGAACGTTCTCACAATCAGTCGGGTTTGCAGCGCAATATGTGAGTCGGCACACTACGCGCGGCATCCAGCGACTTGGTACTCAAACCACTAGTAAAACCTTGCTGGTGTCATCGAGTATTAGAAAAGCGCGTTTGTAGAGACCCTAGAAAGAGTGAGAAACAGAAACTTCTAAAATTTGGCAAACAGCCCACGCATTGTGCAAGTACACAATTCGTGAGCTGCTGCGCTTGGTGTGCGGTACACACATTATCCCATAAGCGTCATACTTCGCGCGATCAGTCGCGACGCGATTTGGCGATATGCCAAGTGTTCATAGTTCATCCTGGACGCATTTCAAATGTAAAAAAGTAGGGCATTATATCACTTTACGAGAGTTATAATGGCTAAGTATCTGTAATCTGCCAGTGTATAATTTGAAGAAATCTGGCAACTTGCCAGATTGTGTGGCAACTGAAATCGCGTGAAGTATGCTCGAGGCCATAAATAACTTGACTGTATAAACTGTTGATACCTTTTTTAGAGCTAAACTTGCACAGACTGAAATGAAGTAGTTAAGCTTCAACAAGTTCTGGCAAGCATTTTGTCCTCCCCCTCCCCCCCCCCCTCCCCGCAAATCCCCAGAAATCATACGAACCTGCTTCCATTCTGTTCCACTTTCGCATCAGCAACGCTTTTTGATGAAGTGTCAATCCAGTAATGCTGCAGATTGCCTTTTTGCGTGGATTTCTGAAAAGACTAGCATTTTCCTAGAGATAATGCTGTACACTTTTCGTTCGAAATGTGAGAATATTCGTGCCTGCCACGGCATGTCTTCGATCTTCGTGGTGGGCATTCAGTCATACATTGACGGCTGCTGTCAATGTTGCGTACATTCCCGTCCCTGCAAAACAAAGGATGAATCCTGGAGAATAGAATTTCAAAGCTTTTTTTGGATTTTGCATTTTCATATGGAGATAGAGATTTCTGCGCTCGAATAACTAACGAGAGACTAATTTGCGGTTACCTGGGTTTGCAAAAATGTTACAATTTGTTTCGCTAACGGTATAGCATGAAATTCGGCCATGGACAAGGACAATCAGCCTCCTCAAATCGGGGAATCTGATTGGTCCGCTCGGAAACATTACGGTGTAAAAATTTGATGTTCTTAACTACGAAAAAACCATATGAGCTAGCGCTCGGACTGATTGGTAGGGGTCCAGGTTTCCTCCAACATTTAAGTTCCTCAACTGCTGATCAAGCCTAACATTCAGAAGAAGTCTAGTTTGACCAAAAGTGCAAGGATATAAAATTTCAAAAAAAATAATCGCTTTATAAGTCCATCTTCACGGGCTAAAGCAAGTAATTACAATTAACATCTCAATGAAAGGAATTTAGGTCAAGATTTTTATTTGACAACATTGGCCCGATGGTAGAACATCAATGGGCCTGCAACCTCTGTTCACTTTTTACTATAAGATGCTAGTTCCGAAACCCGTATAATTTACATTTCCTAACATGACCTTCTTGGTATTTTAATATACTACTAACTGCTCTAATAAATCAGTGCCGAATCACAATGATTGTCACCACATCAACATAAATCATTTCCGCATTATGGAGAAAACTGCCGCGATTCGTAAAACGCTTTTTTGATTGTGAAGCTAATCGATACTTTTGCTAACCGGGTGATTTGCGTCACTTGAGACTGTGTCCAGAAATCTTTGAGTTTAAAGCAAAAAAGACGAAAAGTAATACCGAAAATCCTTGATGTCACTTCTCGCGCGAAGGTGTGCACATATTGGCTCGATGTTATGTACGTTTTTTATGGAAATATGCCAACAAAAATTTTTTACAGAGTGCCAAGAATATGTGACTAAGTGCACCATAACTAGTTCGTTTCAGCGACTTTAGAGGGTTAAGATAGATAGCAATAGCAAGATAGGGAAGCAGAAGAATACAACTACGTTATGTAAGTCACATAGCGCTCGTATTTTTTAACTGGTTTCATACTAAGAAATCGCTATTACCTCTCAATGTTATATGTGCTATCTCTATATCCTCATTCCCAACTAAATTTTTCGCTCTTCTTTTTACAGTGAGAAAAGTACAAGAATAAGACGCAGCGGCTGAGGAAATCCCATCAGCTAATATCTTGTGTAGTAGTACCTGATACATCAAATACAACATATAATCAAGCTAGCCAAGACGAGAAGGTAGCAATTTTCTGTGAGTGTACCTGAATTGCAGGGTACCGAAAATAGCGGAAGCATCGCATATACTCCAATTTTAACGAGATTATTTTTGTGAACCTTATTTGTGTGTTACAATTAGAATCTTGAGCTCAAGAAAGCCCATCAGCTAATATATGTAAAACAGCATTTCGAAACTCTTCAGGATTGACTTTTAGGCAAAACTTTTTTTTGAAAGAATTCAATTTTTTACGACTTCATAATAATGCTTGAGACACTCACACGTCAAACAAGCCACCAAATCAATAGCTCATATTGAACACTTCCAGAATTTTCACGTCTCGTCCCCCCCCCCCCCACTCCCCCTACAGATCCCATTGTATTTTCATGCTATTATTCTACTCACCATTCTTTTTATCCCGTCTAAGCAAGCGAGGTAAAACACAAATGTTACTTAAAAACATCCACAGCCTTTGTTTATAGTCCTCCATCAAGCCCCCCCCCCACTTCTTCCAGCCCTTACCACCAGAGAAAAGGCCCAAATCAGCGTTGATAGAAAACGTTTCCCGGCCGATGTTCCCGGAAAAGTTTTTGCCCCTAACGTTACTTTTCGCTTTTCAATGTTTCATCGAAAAACCTCGTTTCGAAAGCGCGTCCCAGAGCAATCACATCGCCGCACTTCCCTCCCACAGACAGACGAAGCTAAAGCTTCCGCTTCCCACATACATTTGCTTTGCAGAAGGCTTTGCTCGAAATGCGATAGCAGCCTGGGACGAAGTCAAAGTTCGGAATAATGATAGGATGACAGACTTGTTCAAAAATTTAGAAAAACGGACTGTGACAGATTATTCCGCGACGCAATAATCATGACAAATTTGTCGCAATGATACAATTCTATAGTCATAGATATAAAAAAACTATACGAAACTGAAGTCCACAATCTATTCACTTATTCAATACGATGATGATTGCATTAGCGAATAGATGTTTCAAAATGCTAACAATTTACAAATTAGAAAAAAAAAGCTATCACAAAACTTATTATTACATTACTTATCTCTAGTCGAAACCATAAAGGTTACAATTCAAACAATAATTTAGACACTGTCTTCCTAAGGAGTTTCGAAAAATTAACTTTGGAAATTCTTTTACTTCTTTCAAAGACAGGACAGAGTTTCGTAATTTTTTAAACCAAAGATTAGATTTCACCATTTTTTGATATAATTTTTAGCATCCAAGGAGTTGTGAAACAAGTGCGATGGTAGCAACCATTACAATGTTATGGAAAATCAAAAAATCCTTTCACAGCTTTATTTCATCAATTTTTTTACTTAATCTCATGAAATTTACTACAGTGTACTACATTAAACCAGCAATACAGATTTTTTTTAGCTTTCCTGCGTTTGTAGTACAGTAAAAGCCATAACTATCCGGCAAAACACGCAAAAATCGTAAAATCGCGTGATTTTTGTAATGTTTTAATTCAAGCGGTTACTAGGTTTGTGCCATGTGAGTGTTGTACCAACCATTATTTAAAAATTTCCGATCTTTCTTGAGTTCTCGTACATTAAAAGACACATTTGTCGGCAAAACACGCAAGATTAGCGAAGTCGCGCGATTATCGTGTTTTTCCGATCTTGTAGTTACAGTATAGATTTAGAACGATCGAATCGTAATCGAAGTTCTGTCTCACTCATATATTTTTTAGAACTAATGGTTGCGGTAGCAAAGAATGCTGAGAAACTTACCGTATACTACTCGGTTTTGCTAGAGGAGATTGCGATCGCGGTCTGTGCTTCAAAGAGAGCGAATCAGACGATTCCGCATTTCCCATATTCGCTGTAAATATTGATGTAAGCACAAAAACAATGGATTCCTTGAATCAACGAAGCACTTCGGGATAATTTATTTGAACATAGAATGGCAAAGAAAGTAAGCAAATGAACGAGAAAGTGGTCAGAAAACTCCTTCAAAACATAAATCGCATGTTTTCTCCTCGACCCTTCAAGAATGTGAAAGATGACCAAAAAACGAGATGTCGAAACACAGACTTCTGTCAAAGAGAGTTTCAATTTGATGTATGATTGAGCCTCTGTGTGGAAGTGCAACATGCTTGAAAAGGGCCTCTAGTTCGCGAATGTCAAACGAGAGATACTGACTATGACCTACAGGCTCTCAAAAATAATGATTATAGGCAATAATAGTCAGAAAGTAAAATTGACGAGAGCAATAAGAATGGAAAGTTAATGTTATTAGTTAGTTAATCCTATTATAATAGTAATGGTGATTGGTACGATGAAATTTCTATGCAGAATTCACTAACAAGAAGAGGTAGAGAATTTCCTCTGCAATCAGTGCACTAAATTTTCTTGCAGATTTTAGGTCAAGTCAGGATTTACCTTAACAACTCAAGACGAGATGCTTTTGAAGAAACAAGAGGTCAGAACTCTTACAAGAAATAAAGGCTGTGAAACATTGATTCGAATTCTACCTTCCTTATTTGCTGCGAGTTTCTGAGCAAGGGGTTATGAAGGTTTTTATGTGTAAAAATTTCAATGCATGATCAGCATAAAATCTACTATAGACTTTTTCTAGCGTTCAGATGAGGCAGCGCCACGAGCATATCTTTAAATTAAAAGTATTTATTACACAAAGTAGTCCGGAAATCATTTGCATCCTAGGAAATGTTACGAGCACTTTTATTCTAGCTGCACATTCAAAACTTTGCTCATAAATACCTTCGTAACTCCTCGCTCAGAAACCCGCAGCATATAAGGAAGATAGATTTGGAATCAGCGTTTTATACCCTTTAAGGTACTATCCATCTTATATTGAAAGGCCAATTCAAATGGCCTTCCTTTCCTTGTTATTTAAAGCTTTTTGCAGGGTTAAAGAGTTTTGTCTTTGAGATTGCTTGATAGATATCTTAATGAAAAAGCACAAGAAAGTCTTTTGATAACATGAGAACATTCCAAAGTCAAACTGATACTTCCGTTTGAATAAAAAAAATTCCGTTTTTATATCTCTACTTTTTTGCATTAGATTCTCCTGTTTCAAGAGAAACAAGAGATTCTAAATTTCATTTCGAAAGTCACTGTTAATATGACGCAGTCAGTGATTTTGTGAATACAGAGCGAGAAGGACAATGTTCAGGAAATTGTGTGCATCATAGATAGATGAGTGAATAAAGACAGCGTAAACAGGACCCGACGGAGATTGTATGGAAGCAGGCTGGACATTGTTTTTGGGGCGAAAAAGCAAGGACATAGTTTTTGTGGAAAATTGCGACGTCGTGGTTTCGTTTTCTGAGGGTTTAGCCTAGAAAAGAGCTCATGCCGGACCCTGAGCGTAAACTCTGCCCATTTGAGAGTTCTACGGAAAAAGATTCAAATGAATTCTCAGGTCTTATGACTATTTGTCCATTGAAAGCCGTTTGGAAAACTTGATGTTACAGTATGTATACAGGGACAATTTTAAAAGTAGATGAAACAAAAGGTTTATTGTTTGACATTTTGAACATGCATGTAGAATTGAATCCATCAGAATTCTACGCGAAAGCAAGAACGGCAATAAGCAATGATTGAGAGGCTTGTAAGCTACGAGAGCCAAACGGACAACTAGGATTTTGAGATGAATGTTAAGGTCAGAACATTGGTGAAGCATAAAATTCCCTATCATACAACGCTTTCTGGATACACACAAGGTAGGCCTTAGACATTATACATTAGGAGGATTTTTACCCTATGACTTTCAGAGTAAAACACCAAAAATCCCCATGGGAACCCATATAGTGACGCTGTAGCTTTTTGCAATCTGGTCTTGACGTAACCGCTTGAAAATCAATTCTAAAATGGTTCCAGGGAGAGCATGAAAAAAATCTAAAAACCTGGGCAGGCCAAAAACACTCCAAAATTTTTCTTGATAATTATAACGGAGATATTTTTCAAATTTTTAAACTAGCAAGAACAGGAATGCTCTATGTATACTCGCTTAGCAACTCGAAAACACTAGAAATAAGAAGGGAGAAGGATTTTGAATGCTTTGAGTTCTGCAGAATGAAGTCCTAACTACTCATTTTTCTATAGTGAAACAAAACGATGCTGAAAGATAAAAAAACAATTTGCGAGTTTTTCATGATAAGCTTTCAGAGGATAAAAGATGAGATAAAAGATTTAACAAGCGATTCAGAGCAACAATTTAGAGCATAAAAGAGGTCCAGTAGTTTTGCAATCCCAGGAGACAAGAGATTCAAATGAAGATTACATCAAAAGCAACATCCATTCATGCCTTCTCGAGTTCCATTATTCTTCTCAATTTTCCACAGCATATAACACCAAATTTGAAAAACAAAATAGACAATATGGTTTTAGCATCAGCTGTCCCAATGCGATGGACCACCAAGCAGGAACAAGTGTCCGACGCTCAGCCGCCTCAGGGCAAAGGTTGATGGGGCGGAACCCTGCTCCCAGAGGGTGAAGCGGGAGTCTCGGACGAGTAGACGCAGTCACATGACGGTCTAATGGTGTGATTAATGTCAGAGTTAACGCAGTTTGAAGATTAGGAAGGGTTGTAATGTAATTATACGAGTTGTTACGACATGCAAGTCGTGAGTCCAGGTTCGAGATTCGGGCAAAAAAATGTGGTAGGTGCAAGACACCAGACTGAACTTGAAGGACTTTGCAAGGCTAACTCAATTATTTATTGAGGTGACAAAAAACAAACTTCGTCAACGAGAAGAAACAACTGGGATGGCTCATAATTTTCTTAACTACAAATTCGTACCGTTATGAGTCATAGTATTTCTACCCTCTAGGTAGTTATCAGGGTGACACTCGATGGAGCAAAGCCAGTTTCACAAGATGACCTTCAAGCTTTTACATAAAGTCTGATCCACATAAATTTGAAACCAAAATTCAGTACCGATGTCAAAAATCTGAAAAACTTCGTCCGATCTCCCACCCATCCATGCATACACCGTCCAATTTAGACATACATAAATATACCTGTAATTTTTTAGTGGCTAGAAACCAAGAAAAAAGGACTTAAATTTTTAAATTTTGCCTCTGGCGATTATCTAAATAGAGGGATAACTTTCAACCTTCCAGGTGCTTTAGTTTTCGATAATATTAATTTTACGGTTCAAGTTCAAAAAGAATTATGAGACAACTAAGATGCCTGAGAAAATCCAAAAAAAAATTGGTTGGTTGGTGCCGAGTATTCCAATGAGGACAAAAATTGCATGTCTTAGAAAAGTGACTACATGCTTTGCGACTTATCAATGAACATCTGATGAAATCATATAATCAAATCAAAAATGACAAAAAACATAGGAAATATCCTGTATTTTATGTGAGTTTCTTCTGTGCTTTCGCAGTAGCTAAAACAATTATTTTGGTTTTTTCAGTCTTTCTTATGCACTACATCTTAAACAACAAAAGTTTTCTTCTAACCAGTATTCGATTAGAATTAATCGAATGTGAAGGAAGAAGGGTAAAATAAATAAATGGTCTAAACATATGTAACTTCGAAAACGAACTTGTAAGCTGTTACTCTTAATTCAAATGTTCTCCAAAGCTGGTATTTCAAAAGATCAAATGCATCCATCAAGTAGGGGAACTAGCTATAAATGCTTGTCTCACAAATGATGAGATAAGCATGCCCTTTTTCTAAAATTGGGCTTGAGTGATTCTAGTTTGATGGAAACAGCAAGGGCTTACTTTAGCCACGATTCAAAGTGCTTTCAAACTTTGTCTCATAGGCTCACGAAGTCAAATCGAACTATATGTATGTCAGACAAATCTTATATATAAAGCTGAATGTCTGTTTGTATGTATGTCTGTCTGTCTGTCTGTCTGTGTGTACGTATGTTCCGAATAGAAAATTCCATTTCTGAACCGATCCGGACCAAACTTGGCACACATACACTACGGGCCCCGGCGGGTGTCATAGGCTACTTTTCGTCATCGATCGATATCGATTTTATCGATTTTTATCGATTTTTTTGCTGAGTTCACCTACGAGGCTGGGAGTTGGCACAGGGGGGTAATCGAGCATGGGGATTCCGAATACAATATTGGTTTTCAGGATTATCGATTACTTTTATCGATTTTATCGATTTTTTTGCAAAGTTTGAGCTACGGGGCTGGGAGTTGGCACAGGGGGGTAATCGAGCATGGGGATTCCGAATACAATATTGGTTTTCAGGATTATCGATTACTTTTATCGATTTTATCGATTTATTTGCAAAGTTTGAGCTACGGGGCTGGGAGTTCGCACAGGGGGGTAATCGAGCATGGGGATTCCGAATACAATATTGGTTTTCGGGATTATCGATTACTTTTATCGATTTTATCGATTTTTTTGCAAAGTTTGAGCTAGGGGGCTGGGAGTTGGCACAGGGGGGGTAATCGAGCATGCTGATCATCCCCAAGGGGGTGATCAGCATGCTCGATTACACCCCTGTGCCAAATTCCATCCCCCTAGCTCAAATTTTGCAAAATCGATAAAATCGATAGAAGTAATGGATAATTCTAAAAACTAATATTGTATTCGTAATCTGCATGCTCGATTACCCCCCTGTGCAAACTCCCAGCCCCGCAGGTCAAACTTTACAAAAAAATCGATAAAATCGATAAAAGTAATGGACGATCCTGAAAACTAATATTGTGTTCGTAATCAGCATGCTCGATTACCCCCTGTGCAAAATCCCAGCCTCGCATGTCAAAATTTACAAAAAATCGATAAAATCAATAAAAGTAACCGATAATTCTGAAAACCAATATTGTATTCGGAATCCCCATGCTCACTTCCCCCCTGTGCCAACTCCTAGCCCTG